TGAGTCATAAGCTCGGCTCGACTTAAGTTCGACTGTGAATTAAATATTTTATAAAAAATACAAATATACATATAAAAAATATTTTTATTTGACATAAAAATTAAGAATTACAAAAAAATAATTATTATTATATCTAAAAATTAAAATTTTTATATTTATTATATACATACATACATACATACATACATACATACATACATACATACATACATACATACATACATACATACATACATACATACATACATACATACATANCATACATACATACATACATACATACATACATACATACATACATACATACATACATACATACATACATACATACATACATACATACATACATATATATATATATATATATATATATGTAAAAGCTCGATTAGGCTCGTGAGCATCATGAGCCAAGCTTTATTAGGCTTGAGCTCGACTCCATTTACAAATGAACCTATATACTAGGCTTGATTTCGGTTCAAATCTCAATTTAGATCGGGACGAACAGAACTTTTCATGAATAAAGCTCAAACAGCTTGTAAAAAGCTTGACTCGTAACCACCCCTAGGCCTAGAAAATGGACTTACCCATTGATAAGGTCTTTGGCTGGTTGTAACGGAGATTTAGGATTAAATCCTATTATGAATTTAGGGGATGGGCAGCTCCATAGACCAAAAGAAAAGAGAGAAAGAGACAAAGGACCCCATGGCTGTATCCATGTTAATGTAACTAGCAACCTCCTTCACATACCCAAGGATCAAGACCATCACTGGATGCATCATAGTTTAGAATTAGAGAGCATCTATCCATACCAAAAAGCAGAAATGTAAGCAATAGATACAAATATCAGATTAAAGTATATAAATGGGGCCTAATGCACACTGAATACACAGTCACAATCATGTTCTTAGGTTAATTTAGGCTCTATAACCTAATCTCCGTGATGGGTCTCCTTTAACAGTGGTTCCCAACCATTACCCCATTAGTTAGCAGACATTAATGGCAAATTATGGGCCCCAGACTGGTTTATGTGCCCCCAAGCCAAGTCTTTACCTCCTTAGAATGATGCTGAGGAGAATGAATATCATAGACATTTTGGATTAAGTTTAGAATTGGGTTGAATATTTGTTAAATTTTCAATGGGCCTGAACCTTAAAAGGAGGTCGATGTAATTGAAATTCTTCAAGCATGCACCCTTATTTGTGGCACTCCAGATCTCCTACCCACAAAATACTACCACCGTTGTTCCCATGAATGATAAGAAAATACTCCATGCCTGTAGTGTCTTGTGGGTAGGGATATTGAAAGACTTTGTTGGTAGGATATATGTGAAATACTGAAAATGACTTCAATGCCCAAAACTCTCTCTTAAATATGAAACTTTTAAGGTAAAAAAATCCATCATCTTTAAAATAAAATCATTAAAGAGATTGTATATATAAATTTTAAATGGATCTTGATATATTTTTTTTAAATAATGTTTATAATTTTTTTTCATTAAAAATTATGTTATACTTTGGGAAACGATTCAACTCTTTAATTAGGTTAAGGAATATGCAGTATGGTATGGTGTAATGAGAGGGAGAAAAAGAAAGCAGCTCTTAAAACAATATTAATTACTTCCGAAAGACATATTTCCAATCTTGCATTTTTTCTGAGAAAATGCCACATGGGTCCCTTGGTTCGCTTCTGTGGATAAAGATCATTCTCATCACGCATACTACCTCGCCAGTGAAGAAATAAAGCATGGAAGAGAGAACCCACCTTCATATTGGTGGTTCTCACAACTAATGTATTTTTTTTTTTTTAAATATAAAATTTGCCTAGGTCTTACTTTGGAGACCGGATTCAGTACTCACAAAAACGGTGTTCATACCGTGCTTACAGCCTTTTACAGCCATCTATCGGGAATATCTCCTCAATAGTATGATTTTATTCATGGGGCCGCAGATATTAATGCATAGGTTGTGAGCAAGGTATAAGAATAATTTTGTATGTATTTGGAATCATGGGCATTTTTTCATTCAATGTGGATATTTTATTTGCTTGTAAAATTGAGAAAAATAATAATTGCAATTATTTATAACAACTAGGCGCCATTAGACACCACATCAGCATAATAGTGAAAAAACGTCTAATTGTTGGACGAAACTTTAAAAAGTAACTTCTGCAAACGATAAACGTGCACATAAAACAAAGTCACCTTTTGCGATTCTATGTGCATAGAAGAGCATGAGAAGGAAAATGCTGAAGTGGAGCCTATCTTGCATCATTTATTGAAAAAACACCCACACTTCCAAACACACGCTTTGTGAGGACTGAGTCCAATTACCTTATTTTGTTGAAGCTGTTTGGCCTTTTATGCCATGTTTTTTAGGAGGGAGAGGAATATGAAAATTCTTAATTCTCCTTGGTGCCCCTATAGGTAGCCCACTGCACATCCCAACGTATTTGGGACATTTCCCCATGACAAATACGGAAGATGTTCCCAATGCATGCTGAGATGTGTGTGTGGGCGCTAATCAGAATATGGAATTTCCTTCTGAACTTTAAGTTAACTTGCTAGGTTAAAGATCTTTTTGCCCATTGGGTCATTTAGGCTACATTAGGCATTTCTTATTTTAAGGGTTTATCTCCTTTTTGCTGTTAAAATGCTCTTATGAACAGGACTAGATTTAGTAAGCACAATATAGATGGTGTTTGGAAGTGTGGGCGTTTTTTGGGACTGATTTTCAAAAAAAAAAAGCGCCTAGACTTGCTAAACCCGTTTTTCACAAATAAACACCTTCATATGTTTGGTAATGTTTTTGCTATGTAGGTAGTAAGCAACATTAATGCTGTTTGGTAAGGTGATTTTCATCACCATTTTTCATGTATGTGCACACATTATACCATTTTCCATTGACAATTAGGATACATGTAAGCGCTACATCATATAGCCATTGGGGGCAACGGTTCACCGATGCATGAAATGTCAAATTTAACATTTCATGAAATAAGAGGGACGCGATTTACGATGCATGCTTGTTTTTTACCATTTTTTCAAAAATTGCCTGAACCAAACGGTCATATAGGCGGTGAAAAGTGGAATCGCCTACATGGACCCGACGTGGCATCATTTTTTAGAAAAACGCCCACGATACCAAACATCCTCATAGTAAGTACGTCAAATGAGCACTTGATAAATATTCTAACAATTGTCAAAAGTGGTTTTTAATCTTTTTCAAGGGTAGATTGGGGGTATTTTAATTAAGGGAAAAAAATTCTAAGTACTCATTGAATGTGCTTACAACATTTTGCCTACCTGATTCAAATTGCTTATAAACACTGAGTTTTAACTGCAGAAAGGAGACAAACCCTTAAAATAAGGGATGCCAAATGCAGTCTTCGCAAAATTTCCAAATGATACAAAAATTTCCGACCTGTCAAGTAAGATTAGAATTGAAAAAGAGTATCCATATTCCTTTCTCCCTTATGTATCTAAGGCTCAGTTTGGAAGGAGTACAAATACAAATATGTAGAGTGCAAAACCTTGTGTTTTGTACTATTTTGTATGTATTTACATTATACATATTTGTATTCTTAAGGTTCAATTTGGAAGGAATATAAATACAGATATGTACAATACAAATACATATAAAATAATACAAAATATAAAGATTTGCACACTATATATTTGTATTTATACTCCATCCAAAGGAAGGAGTACAAATGCAATTATGTAGAGTGCAAAATCTTATATTTTGTATTATTTTGTATTTATTTACACTATATATATATATATATATATTTGCATTTATACTCTTTCCAAACTTAGCCTAAGGGAAAAAAATGGCCAAAGAAACTATGAGGGTCCTACTTGACATCATTAAAAATCTACATAGAGTGATACGTGGCCGCCAATATGAGATGTCCACATGCGAAATCTTTCTGTCTACCTCGGTCTGTGCACACCTCATGTTGGTGTCTCGTACAAATACAATAGAAGGTTCATGTGCCTATTATTATTGAAGTTACGTAGGGCTCAGGTGAGGTTGGGCTTGATCTTGTTTCAGGCTACTAAAATCCTCAATCCAGGCCTACATGAACTGGATCAAGCCCAAGCTTCTAGGCCCAGGTCCAGTTTAGAGCCCTAAAAATTTAAATCTAATCTGTACAAAAACTTTGATTGTATCAAGCAAAGCTGGGGTTTATGCAGATTTTTGGGGCTGAAATTAGCTGTATGATTAGAATTTACATCTGTGCCTTATAAACGCCCCACATGCACATCTCAGTGTGCATTAGAAATAAATCATGTACTTGTCATTAAGAAATATTCTCAATATATAGTTATATGATTAGGATATGCTGTGGGGCTTTTGTGGGGCACAAATGTGAATTACTATAATTGGAGGATGCTGAGACTGAGAGGAACAAGAAGGAGGGCCCTAGCGCACACAGGACAATGTTGCAACCTAAAATATTGGGTAAATTACAGACTGGTATCCTGTATTTTAGGGATATTGACAAATATATATATATATACACAAAAATATGAAAATGAATAAGATATTAGAACTACATTTTCATGGAAGAGAAACGGCAATATGGTTTTAAAAATAAGAAAATTCAAACTCGATAAAAATTTGAGAAGAAAAATACAAATTTCAAAGTAAACTAGGGTGTCTATTTTTGGAAGCTTAGGGTATTCAAGTATTGCATTTTAAAGTTCAAGATACCCATCTGCACTACCCCAAAGTATAGGGTATTTAACCCATTGGTTTATTTTGTTGTCTAAACGACTCGACTAACACACTTAATTGTGTTCCACTGAGCTCGATCTAGGAGAGACAGAGACCCCTTTTCAAGCTATGTTGACTTGGGATCAGACCAACCCGGCTGAGGTCGTCAACGTGCATTTCCGCTTTGCTTTTAAACCGTGGAATATTTACTTGTTGGAAATTTGGAATAGGGTAAACTAAAGATAGAACCTTTAATTATCTTGGAAACACTTGAAAAAAAAATTTAAACAGTAGAAATTATCTAATTTTGTTCAGAATCTTCAGATGACCAAATTTCATACAATTCTTGTAATTTATTATTGTTCACAGTAATAATCACACCTTCAATATTTAATTTCAACCCTGATGAGTGATGAAACGAAACAAGGCCTCTAAGCCTGCTGATACTTGAGAGAATTACATTACATTGAGCACTCGTTATAAAGCTGAATTGCGTTCCTTTTCATGATTCTGCACAGATGGCGTCGGTTCTCTTACGAGAATACTACGTACCCAGAATTAATTGACGAAGCGACAATCCTTTCTGATCTCTCCCTGGTCACCTGCGAGGGGATTGTTTTCAGATAGCAGGAGTAGCGCTCTTGAGAACTGATCATGGAAGTATCCATTGTCGGAAGCCATCTTCTCCACAAAAGGAAGAGTCACGGGATCGGAAACCAGCTGCTGATCGACTAACAGCAGTCCTTTGTGGCTTAACAAGTTTTTGTAATACATGTTATCGAGAATCATGGGCGTTTCACGATCGTTCCTTGCATATATGACTGCCTCTGGATCAGGCTGTGGCGATTGGCACCGACCTTTAAGATACTCGCTGTAGTTGGGATTCAGGGTGGGATCAACGTTTGGGTAGAGTCTGTCGACAAGGTTCACACAGTGAACTCGACCAACTGAGTGAGCTCCTGGAATTAATCAAAATTAAGTGGGTCGAAGTTGATTAGTGAATTGGATTAATTTCATTTGAAAACTGTAAAGGATGTACCTAACAAAGCGACAGTTCCTTCAGCATCAATTCCGATGGATTGAAAACGCGAAAGCACCAGCGACATGGAGTCGTTGTGATTGGGAATGAAGTCGTTGATCACTGCAACATGGCTTTCTCTAGCATCCCTTCGTCCCGTTTTCATGGCAATATGCGGTCCCCCTAGCTGGATATATATATATAAGTTGAGAGAGAGAGAGAGAGAGAGAGAGAGAGAGAGAGAGATGAAATTAAACATACCATTACAACACCTTCCCTCGCAGAAAGAGCTACAATATCAGCACAAGAAACCGTCATGGGGCATTGGGTTTCCAGGGCCTGTTTAATGGTGTTGACGTACTTGAAGTTTCTCATCCCAAAGCTTCTCTGAGATGTCTTCTCCGATACTATGCCGTTTGCTGTCTCCAACAAGAGCGATGCATCGCACGACTGCATCGTTCAAATTATAAAACACAAAACAATTGATATATTCAGTAACTTAAAAGAGCAGAGCATAAACATGCATGCAGTAATTGAGGTTTTATCTGTAAGATTATGAATCAATACCTCCATGCAATCATGGAAGAGGTTTCTGACCCAAGAAACCGCAGTGTTGCCGTGCTTCTCGTACAGCTTCATCACTTCTTCCTTCACTATCTCTTCGGCTTTAGGGCAGCTCTTCGAGTAATAATTTAGCTGAAGATCGCTACAACCTTTTTAACAACATTTTGTGGACAAATTAGTGGCAACGGATACAAGTTAGTGAAAGCTATGTAGTGTTGATCTTACTTATTAAAGAAGAGGCAAAATAAGGTTAATTACCAGCCTGGAAGAGCAAAGCCAACACTGGGAAGAGAAGAATAAACCTTGGGCTTGAACGAGTTTGGTCGTCGGCCATCTTTCTCATTACTCTCTCTCTCTCTCTGAGAAAGTAAAGTGATGGGAGGATTGGTTCTCACTTGTCTATATATAAGTATATATAAGCAGTAGTGGCCGAAGTGCAAGACAAATTAACGTACTACTGCTGCCCGGAGCCCATCCACTAGCCTCTTTCCTTGACCGGCGCGAGCCCACACTCTGCCCTCGTGTGTGGGTGAGCCGATAGAAAGGTGACTTTCCACCCTTCCTTTTATTTTCTTCTTAGGCTGTGTTTGTTTTAGACACAAATATTGCAAATATGTATTCTACATAAATACATTCTCTTCCTCTTCAGTTTATGATGCAAAATATTTTCTTCATAGTTGTAAATCCATTTTGTTCTCTTCTTGTTTGTTTCAAATTGATGTAAAGAACTGTAAGATGGTCTCTCTCTCTTTCTTTCTTTGTCTCGAAGAGTACAAATTCGTAATGGAAAATATCAGAAAAAACTTTCTCTTCAGTTTATGATGCAAAATAGTTCATAGTTGTAAACCCATTTTGTTCTCTTCTTGTTTGTTTCAAATTGATGTAAAGAATTGTAGGATGGCCTCTCTCTTTTTCTTTATCTCCAAGAGTACAAATTCGTAATGGAAAATATCAGAAAAAACATTTTCTCCCTTTTAATTGTTTCATTTTTGTATGAAAAACAAACGCTCACAAATCCAAACCAATATACATAAATTTCAGATTCAATTTTTATATCACAAACAAACACAACCTTAAAAATAAAACAATGCTGTAGAGGACAAGACGGTGGAAATGAATGACTCGGGGGCTTGTCAATTTGAGAACATGCATGCACACCTGCTCTCATAGCGAGGGCCATTATGATCAGTATTGACCCAGAGACCATAGTAGAGAGTAGCAGTGTGAATTCGAGACATCCATAATTTAGAGACATGTACATAGAGATCAGATGATATAGAAAATTTTGGTTGGCAGCCATGAACTCTGCTCTTAAGGAAGGAAGGAAAAGGGTTCAATGTCAAAGTTCTCGGCTGATCTCACCTTTTAGTTTTATATTTGTGCTCTTATTGATTGAATGTTTAAAAAATAGGGAGTAAGAGGATTCCTATACATATCCCAATTAAGCAAAGAGTGGAAGATGAAAGGGCCAAGCAATTAGGGTAAGGTTTAGGTGAGTGTGTTCTATCCAATATTTGGCCATACTTAGAGATGGCGGGCCCCATTTGATATGACCGCTCACAAATCACAAGCGGCTGCTACAGTTGAAGCAACACAAAGTTTTGGATAACAAGCTGGCCAGCGCATAGCTGTCCAAGGCCCCATTATACAGATGAGAGACTGTCTGCACTCTAATAATTGATTCTGTGGGTCTCGATACATGGAAACCTGTTTTCTAGTAATATTAATCCAATAATTAATAAGGTGCCATTTGGTAAGTCTATAGTTTAAATGGCCAAAAGATGTAATGAATTTTTGAGGTTTTGTTTTCAAAAATCTAGATCATTTGATCTATCATAACTTAAAAAACTGTTAAATGAAAGATTTTAGCTGCATAAAGACATAGACTTTCAAATGAAGCTTCGTAATTTTTGGCTATTATGTTCTTTTATGAGCTTTTTAAGGCCAAATTTTTGGCCTTCCAAACTTTGAGAGGTCCTAAAATACCATATGAAAAACTTTCCAAACACCCCCTAAATTAAGTTGACGTTGTTGATGGATTTATGTGGTTTTATATTAATATTAGTAGCTATCCATAAATCACGAGACTAAGACTATTTCTGATTTAATTTATAACATGAACTATATATGAAAGTAACATATTTTATTAAGAATTACTATTTAAATTGAATATAATTTGTATCATGTTACTATATTATGCGGTTTTATATTAATAATATTGGTGCATGTTTCTTGGAAGGCAAGCATCCCAATGCTCAATTATTAGAAAACTAATTATGGGTTCTGGCTAGACCTTGTCATGGACCGGATACCCCAACGGGCTGGATCGGCCCACACCATTATTTTTTGGGTTTGCACAAAATTTCAGGCTTTAAATGTCAGATCCAATTATTTTTCGAGTTGGGTTCGGGTTTTCCCAAATAAGCCCGACTTAATATTATTATATATAACAAAAAATATACATTAGTTGTATATAGTACACATTTGTTTATTAAGTTATTATCAAATACTAACTTACAATTCAGGAAAAATGTGAATTAGTTTATTAATTTATTAAATTAATATAATATTAGTTTATTAAGTTACACAAAAAATAGGACATTTTATGTGTAAATCGGGTTTTGGACTTTATATAAGGGCCGGGCTTGGCCTTGGGCATGAACATTTTCTGTTGATAAAGAGGCAAAGCCCCGCTTGAACCTGGCCCGACCTATGAACAAGACTAGTTATGGGATCAAGTTTATATTTGAATTTCCATTGATCAACTGCATATTTCTTCCCTATTTGCTTCTAGGTTGTATCATGTAAGAAATGATTTAAACACCATAATTTGATGATGGATATGCTATTCAACACAAACAGAAAGGCAAAACAAGATTCATGTAGTCAACCCCATATTATTGAGACAAGGTTTAGCGACCATAATGATATTAGAGTTGATCTTATAGACAATTGGATAAATGCTATTTGTTCAGTTTGAAGATATTATCATCATTATTAATTAAAATTCCGTTTTCTTTTGGATTCTAAACCAATTGGACTGGATTTGGTCCAATCCGATCCAGTCCAATGTGAGTCCATTATAAATGGACCAGGTCCAATCCAATCCAATGAATGTTTTAGACCAATTTAGACTGGTCTAATTCAATGTCTGGACCATCCAATCTGTTCAAATTCATTTTGGTTTAGATTGGTTTCAACCCTAACCCGGTCCCTTGACACATATAAGTCTTATATCAATGGACCAGATATTGGCTTAATCCAACCCAATCCAATATAAATTTGTTACGGATGGACATGGTCCAATCCAATCTAATAAATATTTTGGACCGGATTGGTCCAATCCAACATGTCTTGTTGGTCCATCCAATTCGTTCAAATTGATTTTGGACTGAACGGGGTCAAATCCCAAACCAGTCCACTGACACCCTTACATATGCAGCATTTCTTAGAACGGATTTTATTTATTACATTAGTGAAATGTATCTGTTTTCAGTATGATAAGTATGCGATTTATTTATTTTTTTTTAATTTTTTGGACCACATTTTGGATTAACAAGCCAAGATGACCAACATTGTGGTCTTTTCAGTCCATACTGAAAATACAAACAGAAAAGCTTAAAAGAATGATTACCTTGCTTATTCTTTATACATTAATTTTCACCATAGGAGGAGCACAACATGAACTAGACTCAATTTAAGCCAAAACCGATAATTCCAGTCTAAGTGGCTATTTGATAACAGCTGAAGCGATTGTACTAATGGCTTAGTGAAGAGGCTGCACTAATGGCTTAGGTGGTGTTTGGTTGTATTTTTTAGACGTTTGAGGTCTGAGACCTCAGACCCATTTGGTGTCTCCTAAAACTGATCTGAATTTTGTTTACAGATTTGAAAACCATAGCTTGTGGGCTGGCTCTTAATGTACTCAAACGCGTTTCAGAGCTGGTGCATTGTCAAAATTACCCTTCCAATGTTTTGGAAATGATGCACGTTACCCCTTTTTATCCCCAACCCAAAAAAACCTAGTCATTCGTGTTTTCGCTCTCAGGGATGGGAAGGAAGAACGCCGCTCGTGTTTTCGCTCTCTCATGAATCCATTCGACCTCTCTCTCTCTCTCTCTCTCTTTCTTGTCTTTCCACCTTCGTCACTACAACTTGCAGCGGCGACGGTTGAGAAATAATAATAATAATAATAATAATAATAATAATAATAATAATAATAATAATAACAACACAACAATAAAAATAAAAATAAAAATAATAATAATTATCATTAATTATAAATTATTTTTAATAATTATTAATTGTCTTAATATTTTTTATTAAACATTAATTATTTTAATAGTGATTAATTATTATCAATTATTATTTATTTTATTATTTTTATTCATGTTATTTCAATATTATTAATAATTAAAAAATTAATTATTAATTTATATTAAATTTTAATCATTTTAATATTTTTTTATTAGTGAATAATTATTTTTATTAATTTTTTGTATAATTTTGATATTATTTTGAATTTAATAAGTTATTTTATATGAAATAGTGCTAACTACATTCACAATTACAAAATAGCCTGTTGTAGGGGTAAAATAGTAAAACAAAGCAATTTCAGATGTTGTAGAATTGATCCAACACAAACAACATTATCTATTCAGATTCTCTAAAAAGTAGAAAAGCATCTATGCCTCTTTTCAGATTTCAGATACTTTTAATATCCTTTTAACTTTTCAGACTTCAGATTTCAAATTTATCAAACGCCAACTTAGTGATTCTAAAACATTGTTATATTATTTAATTATTTTATCTATTAAAAGACAAAACAATAAATCATCCATTCAAATTAAGGATACGGAGAAAAAGGCTGATTAGATGGCAAAAGTGGTAATATTGGGATAAATCCACCTAAACTTACTATAGTGAAGTCAACCGATTGGGTTATGTGGTAAGCCCGAATTCAGACCTGCTACCAACACTGTCCCAACTCTTTACAAGCCATTACAATCATACATTTAGGGCTGCAAGTCGGGCCGGGTTAGGTTGGGTTGAGGCCAATCCTATCCCAACCTTAAGTTCTAAACCCTCAACCCTAACCCAACCCGATTTTCAACCTGACCAACACAACCCTAACCCTAACCCTAACTAAATTCCTTCAACCCTAACCCAACTCAAAGTCAATTTCGGGTTAGGTTGGGCTCTACCTTCCTTCCATCCCTTAAAACCTCATAGAATTTCTCGATTTTAGATCTCAACTCAACTTTCAGTACATATATTAATCCTATGTTTCATTAGTACTTGTTTGCTGACGTTTTTTTTTTTTTGTTCTTTTTGTACAAAATTCAGAAAAACAAGTGTTATGACTTACGATTGATCTTGGGTAGAAAAC